AACATTGCTGGACTGAATTTACATGGTCTCTTGGAGTTCCTTGGGCTAGGCCTGACAATTAGTCAAACACCCTTAGCGCATTTGGTTCTGGGCACTACGTTTTTGGAAGGACATTGATAAATTAGAACAAATCCAGAAGAGAACAACCAAGATAATAAGGGCCCCAAAATGGGGGAAGGAAACCTATGAGGAATGGTTGAAAATTAGCCTGGAGATAAGATGACTGCCAGGAGACAGGATAGCTGACTTCCAGTATCTGAAGAATCTGTTACGTAGAAAATGAGGCAAAATCGTTCAGAGTTGTTTCAGAAGACAGGCAAGAAACAATGGATTTAAATTATAAGAAAGCAGAATTTGGTTGGACATCAGGAAAATATTCTTAATGGGAAAAGCTTTTCAACAATGGAAGAGACTGCCTGAGGTGGTGGTAGCTTCTCCTATTCTGGAAATACTTAATCAGAAGCTAGAAGGCTATCAGAGATGCTGTACTAGTGAATTTTTGTACTTGGGCAGGGGGTTGGACTAGACTATCTCCAAAGTCCCTTCCATACATTCTTTGCAACCACTCATAAAAAAAGATTTATAACCATAGATCATGGACAATACTACAATATAAAGAGGATGAACATATAAACAATGGAATATTCCATGCCAAACGTATACTGGGAAATATCTCAACCGTTCAGCGTAAATTCAACAAACCTCAGGAATCTCTCCTGCTCTAATAAAAATAGTTTTGGCCTACATTATTGGCAGAATTTTTCTCAGAAAATAACATTAATCACAGGCCAAATATATACTGAGTATATAGCTCAAACAGTTTGTATCAGTTCAGAAGATATTCTTTAAAAAGAACACTTAGCTTATGTACACTGAATTGCTGAGGCATTTCTCGGTATATACTGTATTTGGAACAAACGAATAACTTACCTTACCACCAACATACACCAACGCTATGTATTACTGAAATAGAAGAATTTTGTCTTATTGCACTACAGAGATATTAATCAGGATATGTTGTGGTCACATTTTATATTGTTTATATGCTTTTCTTTTTATATTCCATGGCATACTTGCCTATGATCCGTGATAATAAATTTTTAGGATCTTTTTATTGGTTTGTGTCCACTATATTTTCTTTGTCTTAGAATTGATAATGAAGATATCAAAGTGGTAGATTGCTTCTGCCTTTTAGGATCAACCATCAACAATAAAGGAACAGGCAGCCAACAGACTAGCACTTGGTAGAGCAAACCATGAAGGCCTTGGAAAAGATATTCAGATGCTGTGATGTGTCTATACCTACAAAGATCAGAATAGTGCAAGCCATGGTATTCCCTGTGGCACTCTATGAAAGTGAAAGCGAAACACGGACTTTGAAGAAACATGATAGGAAGATTATTGATGCTT